GAAGAAGTTGAAGCGCTCACCACCAATCTGTTTGTCGTCGTAGCTCACACAAGTAGCCAAGTGTTCGTGCAGAATCTCAGAGCAGGTAGACATGGTTGAAGGCGCCGGTGGCCTGGTCATGGCCCTCGTTAGCGAGGCGGGCATGGTGGACATGGCAGAAGAGGTCATGGTCGGCGAACTACCGGCCGGGAGGCTCCCCGCCGAGATCATCACCGGCATCCGCGGCGACATCCGCGCCTACTCGTGGCGCGAGCAGCCGCGCCTGTGGCACTACCTGCGCTCCGACGACGACGCCGCCCACGCCGGCCGCGACGGCCCCGACGTCTCGCTCAAGGCCCAGCTCGCCGCCGCCGCCGCCGACCACGACGCCTGCCTCGAGCTGCTGCTCAAGGCCTTTGGCGCCGCCCTGTGCGCCATGCTGCACATGAAGCCCGACGAGCTCGACAGCAACATGCCCGTCGCCAGCCTGGGCATCGACTCGCTCGTCGCCGTCCGCGTCAGGGAGTGGTTCATGCACCACGTCGCCGTCGAGGTCTCGGTCCTCAAGGTCATGTCGGCCAACACGGCCCTCGTCGACCTGGCCAAGGACGTCTTGGCCGTGTGGAGGAAGCAGCTGGAAGCGTAAGGGCGCGGACGCATACTTTCCGAGAGATCCATTGCTCTGTATCTGCTTTCTTCCTTGTCATGTTCATTTTCATGTTCTGTCATGATCTTGTCATGTTCATTTTCATCATTCTGTCACGATTCTGTCACGATTCTTGTCATATCATTCCTCCGAGTTCAATAGACATCATGTGCGCCCTCCATCTCAAGTAGGTACGTTGGTTATCAGGGCGTTGGTTAGCAGAGTCACATCTCCCGCGCAGTCCGCAAGTCACAGATTATAGATGGGGTTTCAAGTCATGGAATATAGTCAGCGTTGGAACTTCTGAATCTGGCCTCCGCCGTCGCCTGACAGGTTGATGTAGTCCACGCAGTCTCGCGGAAGCTCCCTGGAGCGAGGATACTTGCCGTCTTACTGCCATCAGCCATGCGCCTGGACGAGACCTCCACCACTGCCATGACACTGGTCATGACTAGAAATAGACATTGCCCTCGTGCTAATACATGTCCGTCTGCACCGGCCGAGAAGCGTTCCTTACCTCCAAGGGATCATACAGACCTTCCGGTACACCGGCCTCAAATCTCCAAGGCCTTCAGAAGGCCGTCGCGACTGTCCTGCAGATTCTGCGTGGCAAACTCGGTCCTCCTACTATCGCCAACGGCCAACTACAATGAGGACTGCAGTCTCATGAGGGCTGGACATATTTGAACGACCAAGCAAAGACATGGAGCTGGAACCCGCGAAATGTTCGCTGCCCTTGAACTGCCGAGCGGAGGATTGGACAGGAAATAACGCAAGTGTTTGAATCCGATGTGAATTCAGCATAGTAGGAGCATGTAATCGGTGGTCATTATATTCAGTTTATACGCTCGCTAACGTGCCAGGTAACACCCTGGAGATTCCATGTATTAAAACTAAGACATATATCTATTAGATGACTACGATTTGCGGGGCCTTAACGGCCGGATTCAGATAACTATAGGAATCACTAGGTCTAGCGGACTTGGATAAGGTCTATATAAGAATCGCTAGAGCGTATCTTGAGAGGCAATAAGATAAGTTTAATATGTTGGAGGTCTAAGGAGGAAAGGTGTTGTATTGGGAAGCTATTCTCTAGGGCAGGAGGGTGCCTGGAACTAAGCTATAGGAGGGAGGTGCCAGGGCACAGGCCACCTGGCATCAGGTGACTGCTGGAAGCCCCAGGCGAATACCACCAACATAATAGACCTAATATATATCAATATAGTTTATTTATCTTTTATAGAGTTATAGGAGTTATAGGAGTTAGAGTCTTTTAACTACTCTAGTAGCTAAAATAGAAGCTAAACTATTAAACTAATAGTAGGGAACTCGATAGTTAGGATAGTAATATCTAAGATATCTAGGATATCTAGGATCCACTACTCTTAGGAGTATATAAACTATAGCTTATATAA